TTCTCCATTGCCTCTCAAATTATAGCAAGTGTCTTGTTCTTCAACTTATACCAGCAGGCATTCAACTTTGAATAAGAAAGCTTGTCTATTGGTTTATGTATTTTTTTAATAAACGAATGCTATTTTCATTTGTTTTCTGCTTCCTAGAGTATATTAGTTTGCTAGGGCTTCCACAGGCTGGGCAGCTTATACAACAAAAATGTATTGTCTCCCAGTCCTAGAAACCAGAAGTCTAAGATCAAGGAGTTGGCGGGGATGGTTTCTCCGGAGGCCTCTCTCCTTGGCTCGTAGATGCCATCTTTTCTCTGTGTCCTCACATGGTCATCCCTCTGTGTGTGTTTATGTCCTAATCTCCTCTTTTTATAAGGACACCAGTCATATTGGATTGTGGCCTGCTCTAATGACCTCATTTTAACTTTATCACTTCTTTAAAGACCCTGTCTCCAAATACAGATACATTCTGATGTGTTGGGGGTTAGGACTTCTACAGATGAATTTGGGGAGGGCACAATTCAGCCCATAATAGGGTATCAATGACCAGAGGTTCATAGAAAGGGGCTCAAGGAGCTGTAAGCAAAGGAGGTGGTGGGGGGAGGTAAGGCGCATCGGCAAGTGTGATTGGAGGAAAGTATTTACTAAAGAAGATACAGAGTGAATGGTAATAAACTATATGCCAAACAGAAGTAACTAAGTGGCCCACCTTGACCATTCTGATTCTGTGTCATCTGTTCTGAGCTCCACTTTAGGAGTTCTTGTATTCTAATGTGAATTGATCCTTGTATCAGATAATACAGAGGTGGGTATGAGGGACTCTGTTGAGCCGATTTAACCCTTTCCCCCATGATTACCATCTAGGCCAGCAGCAAATCACATTTGAAATTCATTAATTAGAAAAATGATTCTATTTTGATCAACAAAACAAGTTGTTCCATCATGAGAATCCTGGTCTCCTGGAGGACTGTGAAGGTTGAGATGGCAATCTGCAGACTTGTTTCACTGTTTGATAGATCCTAATGGAATGTATGTGAATCTCTGGAATAAGACCATGCAGGATAACTAAAACTTCACATTTCTTTGCTTCAGTTGGGATGCTATCAGTCCAGTGTGTCAACACTAGTTATCATAGCCGATCAGGAGCTTGTTGAAGAAAAAGAGAAAATGAATTATTAATAAGTGTTGCTTGCTAGACTGTCTTTCAGTGCATAAGAACTGCTGAGAGGCAGATAACAGGAAGGGGTACTTGTAGGTGAAATGATTAGGGACCACTGAGTTAAACCAAACCCTTCTCTACAGCTTCCGTATCTGGCTTGCCATTAACCTTGTTGCCAAATCTTATTACTAGACTTCTATCAATGAAAAAAAAAATTCTGACATGAAATTTGGAATCAAAACCTCCATCTAAATAGATGTCTATTGCAATTATGAGAAAGTGCCAGTAAAGAGAAAGACACGATTATTCACACTTTCAGTCTAATGGGATTTATATACTTTTTGGCTGATGTTACTTAAGGAAAACAATGCTCTTACTGTCGGCCTTCACAAAGTAAAATAAATCAATCTGTGTAAAGTTTATGTTCATTTCTGTAAGTCAGTCTAATTTACATGCTCCAGCAGTATTCGATGTGTAAGAATGACGGAATTAATCATTCAAAATTGGCCTTTTATGATGGGCAAAAGGGAACAAATATCTATCCAATGCCTATTTTTTCATACTTTTTTTTTTTTTTGGTAATTTACACAACAGACTGATGAGTTGATGGTATTTTCTTTATTTTAAAGGAAAGAAAACTAAGGTTCAAAGTTTTTTTTTTTTTCCCCAGAAAGTCAAGCAATTGATCAGGGTCATAGAACTAGTACATGGTAGAGCCAGGTTTTGAGTCCTGGTCTGTTAGACTCTGAAAATTGTGCGTGTCCAACTATACCACAGAATCTTCATGACCATATGGTGATGGGTGTGGCAGAGAGAATTCCAGGTACCTGGAGAAAGGAAAACTTATATAGGCTGAGAGCACCTAGACTAAGCTACATTTGTATCCAATAAATGCTTGATCCATTTTGCTAAGCATTTGT